TCTGATCTCCGACAAGTTCTTGGCACGATTGGACGAGCACAAAGGTCCAGAGTTAAGTGCTGTCTTGGGCATCGTTTGGGACAGCGCTCTTGGGCCTTCTTGGGGGCCTCCCAGGGCTCTCTTCAGCCGGCTTGGGGCTTTTTCAGGCCGTTCTGCGACTCTTGGGCTATCTGGGAACCCCGAAGCAATCTTGAGGGTATCTTGCAGCCTTCGTGGTGCCAAGTCTTGGGCCTTGGGGCTCTCTTGGGCCGTTTGGGGCTCGTTTGGCCGGTCTTCAACGACTTGGGGGGCACTCTTGGGGGCACTCGTGGGCCCCGTGTGAGATGTTTTGGGCGATAGTGAGGGCGTCTGGGGCCTTCTTGGGCGCTCTTCTAGACCGAAGCAGCGAGCCTGTGAATTCATTGAAAACCTTTGGATGTTGATGATGTTTGCCTTTCCAATTTCCAATATCTCTCGGAAGTCTTCTGAGACATCCACAGGGCCGTATTGAGCCATCATGGTCTTTCCTTGATCACCATGACCTCCCGGGGCTCTCAATGGATTGCCATACCCTGCCAGGCTCCTGGCCGACGCCCCCTCCCCCGCCCCCACCTCACCCCAACGTCTAGGGCGAGACAAGAACACTGGGGCCCGGCCCATCGCGAGGGAGGGACACAGGTCCCCCAGGCCCTAGATGATGCAGGCTGCTAGCTCAAGACATGCAGAGCTAACCCGTAGCCGAGTTGCCTCTCATCTGAATGTCGGCCTCGAAGGGGCGCACCCGATCGGCCTGCTGCGGCGGTTCGGAAGTAGGGGCCCTGCTGGGTGGGGCCATGAGGATGCGAATGGATCCCAGGTTGAGTTGACCTTGTCTAAGGCCACTCGTGCTCAGGGCCTCATCCATCAAAAGGAATCGAACTCTATACACCGACACTTCTTCCGGCCCTGCATTGGAATTTGCACTAGAAAGCGGATCCTGGTGTATACGGGACCCTGGTGTATACATTTTTCGTTGTTTCCCCGGGACATCGGGGAAAAAAGTATACACCACACCACCCCAGCGTCGTCCCCGACCCTCAAGAAGTCCTGGGATTGAAAAACAGCCCGCCACTGGTAATGTATATGTTCCAGTTTCTGACATCAGGCCCCCATGTCTGACCGCCGATTGCAGAGCGCCGATGAGGAGCTCCCGTACACGGGCCTTAGAAGGGGCCCTGGGACACACAAATAAATACACACGACTTACACGATTCCCCATCTTCTCCCATATTTTCGGGGTTTTCGTCTTCCCCCCCACTTCCCAGATTTCCCCATATTTTCTGGGGGATCGACGATAAATTGTGTCTATTTGCTTTCCCTCCTGATCCTTTTTTTCTCTATCATCACAATCGTCGGAAGATTCGCTCGCACAACCTTCTGGAAAGGTAATCTGGCGGTCCCTGTTGGAAGCGAGCACCTTGCTGTACAACCAGATTAGTATCAGTCGGCCCTCTGCGTCCAAGACATCTGCTGGGATCCAGCCTGGAGTCACACTTGTGTATGAAGAGGCCTTCTAGATGGGGTCGGAGTAGATGAGGTCGGGGATCGCGACGCATCGCCGATACATCGGCGATGCATCGGCCACCGGCGAAGCATCGTCGACGTCGGCGATGCATCGGCGACATCGGCGTGGAGAAAATCGGGCTCCGCATCGAGCCGCATCTGCGATGCATGGGCGATGCGGCGCGATCCTCCGACCTCGTCTACTCCGACCCCATCTAGGCCGTATACAGTCGAGGCGTTGACCTAAGGCACCCTAAATAAGGAACGAGGCCCCTTTTTCCCATAGGTTCTACCTCGATTTCCCATGGAAAACCTCAGGAAAACCCGAGGCAAACTTTGGAACAACCAAGGAACACCGAGCCCCTCCCCAACGAAAAGGGTTCCTTCTTCAGCACCCCGACTGTACTGCTCATGATAAGGGAGGGAGGAGATGGGCGAAAGGAGCATAATAGTGAGAACAGGCGGAAGGAGCGAGGCATGGGCGGGGCAGGCAGGGCCAGGCGCTCCCATGAGGAGGAGCGGGACCGGGACAGGCAGCAAGACCGGCCAGCGCTGCACAGGGCAGGACAGGACGGGGGGAGAGGAGCAGCAGCGGGCTGGCCATCGCTCGGACGTCCATTTCCTGTGTTTTTTTCGGTTTCGTGCGTGGATTGTTTCGCCAAATGATCAAGGATGCTCTCGATGATCCTCGCCGAAGGAAAACTGCACACGTCCGAGCGATGCCAAGCGGGAGGACAGACGGGGACACGCACTCCGTGGCGCAGGACGCCGCAGCCGGTGCCTCGATCGAGTCCAGAGTGTACGCGCCGCTGCTGTCCGCGGCGAAGAACTCGTTGACCCTCTGCTTGGTGATCTCCGGCGCCGGGGAGCGGCGGGGGCGAGTGCTCGAGCGGGGTCGCCGGCGAGAAGCGAGGGCGAGGCAGAGGTGGCGTGGAGGGCGAAGGCTAAGCCGAGGGCGAGCAAAGGAAACGGCCCCAGACCTCCGGCGGCCGGAGTTTGCTCAGCAGTCCTGGCGTTTCTCCGCACGCTTGTCCCCTGGAAGGCCCTGAACGGCAGCGCAGGGGAAGGCCACCCTGTCGGCCGAGCGCAGGTCGCGAAGACGCTGTCGCAGCACCTCGCACGGAGCCAATCTGGAGATCCACGGCGCGGCCTGGGGCGCGCGCGGCCCAGAGCGCCCAGAAGCCCAGAGCACGGCCGCGCAAGGCCGCGGAGAGGGCCGCGAGGCCGCAAATGGGGCTTGTTGCAGCCAGCGGCTCGTTGCAGCCAGCGGTTTGGGGGACGCTGGGCGCTTGGGCGCCGGTGCAAGCGGCGCCGTGTCCTCGGTGGTTCGGGAACGACGGCCGATGCGATGGCTCGGGGAAGTCGGCTCGAAGGCGATGGCGCGGGCCACGCGCACGTCGGCCCCCTGCGCGAGGCTGAGGTCGTCGGGCGCAGCCGGAATGCCCCTGCCGCCACCCGCTGGTGGGCATTCCTGCCGTGGTGAGCGGGTGTTGGGTCACGGAGGGCGTTTTGGTTGCAGCTGACGGCTGTGCGGATGCGTGCCACTGTGGCCCTCAAACAAGGCAGAGCATCTGACGCGTCCGAGAACTACCCTGGAGAATGGCGAAAGACCGGAGCAGGGGAGCAAGGGGGACGAGGGAGGCGGAGCGAGGAGGAGCGAACAGGATGAAACCCCCTCCCCATGCCTTTTTCGATGGTAGCCGCTATATCGTCGGCCGCTCATTCGCCGCCGATCGAACGAAAAATAAGCTGCCTGTCAGCACACACATATGGCGTCAACGCGACCCCCCGACTCCCAAAAACCGTGCGGTCACCCCGAACGCCCATTGACTCACCACATGGTGTGTTCACCGCGCCGCTTGGGGGCCCCCGTTTGTCATTTTAGATCGTTCCTGGAAGGTCCCCAAGCCCGAAACGAGCCTCCACAAACCCAAACACTGAAAGACCGCCGGCCCCCGATTTTCGTTCGCGACGGGAAATCCCCCAGAGGCCCCCCCAAAAAAACACAACGTCTAACAGAAATCTGGGATCCTCGATCGTGGGCAGAAGGCTCACTGCCAATTTGGCATGTCGGAGTCCTTGTGGAATCGGGTCCTGGACCCCAGGACGTTCCCCTGAACCAGCATGTCATCCCAAGCCGTTATTTGACGCTCGGGGCCCAAGGATAGCGGCGGGAGCCCGAGAAAGGCGGAAATAAATACACCCCCCTTTCATGCAGGACCTCTTTCCTTTCGTCTTGGCCACACAAACAAACAACGACTTACTGACTTACGTTGCGATCTACATGTTGCATGCAATCTACATTGACATGTGATAGATAGTTGTTCTCATTTAGCTCTCGAGCCGAAAGGTACGGAACACAACACATCACGACATGCTCGCCTACGCCGCGCCTGTCATATAAAACACCAACGCGCCCCCTCGGCAAACCTGTAGCTTGCGGAGATCATGCCGACATGTGTTCCACCCCGTCTGGAAAGTGGCCGCCAGTACGCCAGCTAGGCTCACTCTCGCCGCAGCCGTTCAAGCCTTCACTCACTCTTCTCGTCGAACCTCCTGTCTAAGCTCCAACAGCCTTCGCATCCCGTAATGTCAATACGAATCGTGGCTGCTGTCGGTGTCTGGCGCAAGTCGTAATCGATTGTGTCTTCGCGGCCCGCTCGTTGTCTTTCGCCCTGGACTTCTTGGCCCGCGCCTCCCCGACGGCCCCAGAGAAGTTGCCGCGAAGATCCGCGAGCTTCTTGACCACGTAGCGGTACTTCACACAGCCCACCACGAAGCCAACAATCATGATTACGGATCGCGACATCCAGCTGAACTGAGTTGCCGTGTATACTGTCAGTACCGTCGGGCCCTCTATCTCGCAGCTGTCTCTGATCGCTATATGTGTCTATGCTTTCGTTTTGCTGAGCATCATCGCTGCCGCCAACAATGCTCTCGGCCCTGTGCTTAAACTCGCCCACTGGTTGCTGAAGCCGTTAAGCGCCTCGCGATCGCTGGCCCCGGGCCCGTCGCCGCTGTCAGAACCCATGGCAAGCCTCGCTCTCCACTCCAAGAACGGATATTGCTGTCCTCCTCGTCGCACTTGGCCTGAAGCCACAGCAGCCTCGTCCCCATGTACTTGAGCGCTCCAAAACCGATTCTTGTAATAATACCCCGGGCTGCCGTGAAGTCCAGCCTGAGCTTGAGCTCCAACGGAAACCCAATGAACCCAATCAGCTTCTGCATGGGGAGGCCCTCTGCTACTGTGGTGACTGCTGCGCAGTACTCGATTCCACCCGAGGATTGCGCAACCAAGCTTCAGCGCGCCCCCTGACGTGCTCTTCCTGTCGTTCACGTCTCCTGCCCAGTCCGCGTCTGAGTAGGCGTTCAGGTACTCTGCGTCGATACCGTAGTCTGTCGTGCCTTTTCAGGCACCTCGCCGGCCGCCTGAGCCACTGCATATCTGGATCTCTCGGGGCAATCAACGACTTGCTCACCTCATGGAGTGCGAATGGGATGTCTGGCCTGGACTTCAAGAGGTGTCTGAGAATCCCAACGCAGGTGATGCACGACTTCTTGTCGACTGGGCCCACGACTGGCATATCTAGATCCTCTGTCTTCCGCGCGCTGACCATCGGCGTCGGCACCTGACTGCAATCTGCGAGGCCGAGCTCACTCAAGGTGTCCTCGATGCGTTTCGGCCTCGGTGCAATGTAGATCACAGCATTGCTAACTCTCGCGGGCGTCGCCCTGAGGAACGGGTGCACCGAGCCGCCCATCATGATGCTTGCCTCCTTGAGCTTGACTACTGGCGCCAGGTTCTCCTTCAGCCACTTTAACTCCGGGTCGCTGCCTGACGAGTAGATGTCGTCTTGATGCCCATCAAAGACCAGTGCGGCCCCTGGTCTCCTGAAGATGCTGGGCTGCTCGGGCTACTGCTCGACCCCGAAGTCTCCTCCGTCACGTACTGGTTGAACTTCTCCGAGGCCTTGCGCTTGCCGTAGAGCTGGTCCTCCATCTTCCACCACGGCCCCTCGATCTTGCCACCTCGAGCGTGGCACCGTTTGACTCACTCCACTGGCGGATCCACGTACACCTCTTTCGTCTTCGCCAGCATGGAAGCGCGCGTTCTGCGCATCCAACACCATCATGTTATAGCCGTGCTGGACAGCGCGCTGATCTATGAGCCTGCCCGTGCTGCTGGTGGCTCATGCCGCGAACAGCCCTTCCTGCTCGGGATCGTATCCCTTGAACTCTCTCGTCATGAACCTGAACCTACACTCGTCTGGGCCTCTCGGCACGTTCCCCCATCTCGTGGACAAGAGGATCGAGTCGTCTGGGGCGCAGTCGACATCTCCTTCTCCATGCCCTTGAGGATAGCCTTCGCTATCTCAGGATCCGCGCCGTGGTACTCGCCCTACTCCTCCTGCAGGTAGGCGCTGTCGTCGAAGTCTGCCTCGTACTCGTCTGCGTCCATCGTGGCCAACTCGTCCACTCTGGCTTTCTTCTCCGTCGACGTCCTGGTGCCTAGTGCCTCCCCCAGGTCTCGCTTTGATGACGATGCTGGGGTCCTCGGCGCTGGAGCTGGCCCTGCTGACTGAGCCTTGCCCTGGCGCCGCTGCCGGCCCACGCCTACGTTCGCTGCGCCGCCGCCTCCAGCTGCCGGCGCTGGACCTGGAGCTGGAGACGCCGCCGCCGCCGCGCCGTGCCCTGGAGCCGCCTGTGCTGGAGCCTGCTGGTCTGCAGCTCTGTCGGCTACTGCTGGCCGCCCCCGCACCACCAGCGGCACTGCTCGCGACGCCCTGCTCCTCTTCGGCGCCCCCATCGGCCTTCCAGCGAACCTGCCCCACGGCGTGCCCTTGCTATGATCAAGTCGCCCTGATTCTGATCGACAACTGGCACTCGTTTGACCGCCCCGGTGGCGAACGCGCCCCCATCTGTTCCGAACAGGTGCTCGTCGGACCCCAGTGTCTTGCCCAGCCAGGTCCCTCTCACGAACCTGGCGTCACCTCGTCTTTGTCTAACTCCACCTCTCACTTCGCCTGTCGCCGTGACCGAAAGCTTGAAGGGCGCCGACTCTCTGAACTCCAGGACTTCCCCCTGGCACGTTTTGCAATAGTTCTCCTCGTTGGCTTCCCCGTGGTTCGCCATCACGAGGCATCGTTCAAGTCGCCAGTCAGCGCGCCCGACCATCCACGGCCAAATTCCTATGGAGGCGCCGATTGGCATGCCCATCCGAGCCCCCACGTCTACTCTCATCGTCCTGATCTGGCCCCCCGCTGACTGCTGAGCTCTGCCAACAGCTCCCACGCTCTGGCTGCTGAACCTCGGCGCCTTCCTGATCTCGAGAGCGACGACGTCGGTCAGGCATTACTGTTCACCTTCTCCACAATCACGCCCAGCGCTTGCTCGGGGCCCACCTTCAGCATAGCTTTCGGGTCGGCCATCCTCTTGACAAGGGCTTGATGATATGTAACTGGTCTCAACCGACTTCATCGGGGCTGCCATCACCCTGGGATTCTGCGCTGTCGCGTCCACTAGTACAAGCGTCGTCGCCCAAGTTTGATATCCTGGACTGCGTCGTCTCTTCGGGCCCTGAAGAAGGCAGCAGAGGTCCATCTCGAACTCGGGCAGCTTCTTCGTCTCCTCTGGCCTCTGCTCGCGCAGCTCGGCCCTGCCTTTGCCCATGACGCACAACGCACACCACGGCTGATAAGGCAAACGTGTGACCACGCGTCGCGCTCGCTCGTCTGGCGTCGGATCTGCTGGAGCTCGTGGGACGGTAACCTCGCCCTGGCCCCCAGACTCGGCGAGCTCCCTCGCGCGCTCCTCGAGCCACTTATCGCCCTTGATCTGCAGCTCGAGCTTCACCTCGGCGCGCACCAAGCGCCCCAATAGCGCTGCTTGGTTCCCCAGGTCGGGGCCGAGAGCCCCCTCGACTTCTCCCGCACGTCGCCCGCCGAGCCGCCGCTGAAGAGCCCGCCGTGACCGCTCGGCTCGCCGCGCTGCCGCAAATCGAGCCGCTGCTGAGCTAGCGATACTGCTTCTCCTTCCAGTCGAAGTGTTTCCTGATACGCCTGGGTCCAGTGCCTGGGGCGCTCCTGCGACTGTCACAAGCTGTGAAGCTGCTGATGCTGCTGCCGAACTCGATGCTTCCGCTAAACTCCACGCTGCCCCCGATGCCGCCTCGGCCCTGGGAGCCGACGGCGTTGCCTCGCCCCCGACTGGCGCGATCATCACCGTCGCCTTGGTCAGCGAAAGCCTCCTCTTGATCCTCAGCCCGAACGCGCGCCCTTTCATGCACACTGGCACCATCACTCGCCCTCGGCCGGCGTCGATCTCCAGCCAAGGGTCATCTTTCCTGAAGTGCATGTCGGCGCCGTTCCTCGCGAGCTTGCCGACATTCAGCAATGGTATGTTCACGTCGCTCTGCACGAACGGGGCCTCAGCATCCACTATCGCGTGGCCGCTGACGCCCAGCAGCGCGTACTCGACCAGGATCTTGCAACCCGACTCGATATCGCTGCCGTTCGCCCCTCTCAGACGGGCGCCCCCGGGTCCGATATCAACTCCGTTGTCGGAGAAGTCTCATGGGCAGGCGCATTCCTCGCATGCGCTGTCCAGGGGGGGAAGCTCGTCGCCTGCATCGCCCAAGCCTTCTATCCAAACGTTGAACACCCACATGTCTTCGCCGCCGCTCTCGCCGTCGCTCTGACCGCGTGCGTCCGGATCGTCATAGCTCTGAACCTCTGGTGACTCGCCATCGTCATCTTGGATGGTCTCGCAATAACCCTCGCGTTCGTGGACAGTGCGGTGTGTCTCCCCCCGACGTCTGGCGCACACTCTGTTCTGATCCACTTCCATGCGATGATGCCGTTGTGCTTCTCCGCGCCTCTCACCAGCGGCAAAGCTTTGCCTCTGACAGTGTTGACCAAGAGGTAGTAGAGTTGTTTGGCCTTGTTTCTGCTGCTCTGGGCGGAAACCACTAAACTTTAAGTCGACCATCCGTGCTGTCCCTCAAGTTGCACCTGCTGTACCTCCTGCTCCTTGTTCTGCCGCGAACCGTGCCGCTCGCTCCTGGTCGAGCTGCTGGCGCACTTCTCCGAGTGCCTGGGCCAGCTGCGCGAGCGTTGCTATTCCGTCTGTGGAACGAAATCTAGCTCCGCGTAACCATGCTGCGATCTACAGTCGCATGTGATAGACACTTGTTCCCCTTTAGCTCTCGAGCGGAAGGCTACGAAACACGACACATCACGCCATGCTCGCCTACGCCTCGCCTTTTCATATAAAACACCAACAACTTAGACTTACTTACTTACTTACATACTTGCGTTTTACTTTATCACAATACTTACTTCCTTGTATTCCTGCTTATTTGCGTGCTTGCTTGCTTGCGTGCTTGATTACTGAATGAATTGATTAATTAAGCGCTTGATTATTTACTTACTTACTAACCTGTTGTCAAGTGGAAGTTGCCCGATATCGTTTGTTCCAATTGTACCACTAACCTGCGGGCATGATATCGCGCAGCTGACTCGCTTCGATTGATCCTTGCACCAGCTGTGAACCGACGCAAAACTCTCGCTTGCCAATTCTGCCACCCCCGATTCAGGCGGAAAAGCTCTGGTGGGAGGCCTGGAAATGGGCACCAACACCAACACAGGGGGTTGTTTCCACAGAGGGAAGATGCTCCTAGATTTGGGTGCCGGTGGTAATATTTCGGCCACCTTGGAAGCCAGAATATTACCACCATCACCGAGATCGGGATTTTCTTCCCTCAGTGGAGGCACCCCGCCGATACTGGTGTTGGTGTCAACCTCTAGGCCTGCGATCTGGGCACTGTGGATATCCGGGGGAAAGGAAGGAGGGGAGGGGGGGAAGGGAGGACCCTCAGCGAAGGAGGGATGAGATCGGGGGCGACGATGAGGGCGCATACCCAAGGGGAGAGAGCAACACGTGCCCAAGGGACGCTGATGGTCCACGCCTACGGCGAAGCGAACGCCTGCTATACCCGCCCCTGGTATCCTCGCCCCCTAATCTCACCGAGCGCGTTCCACTACTTGCAAAGTGCCTACTCGCAAATGTCCGAAAAACAGATGTCCGCTTTGATGCAATGTGTCGGAGATCCCCCGCGGCGTATCCAGGCCATTTGCGAGTAGTCACTTTGCGAGTAGCGGAACGCGCTCGTCTATAATCGCCGCCTCCGAGGGAGAGGGGGGGGCAGCTGCAGCTCGAGGCCCGGCCCGCTCGCTGTGGGCCGCCTGCCCAGAGGTGCGACTGGGCACCCGGGGCGCCCCGAGCGGCCCAAGGCCAGCAACGCCGAGCCTCGCCCACGCCGACCTGGAGGTGAAGAGAACGACGACCAAAGACTGAACGCGGAAGCAGCGGTGCCGATCTCGGCCGTCGTCCTCCTTGGTCGTCGTCGACCCGCTGATCATCCTCGCGCATCGGCGGCGGCCGGCATCGGCCGTGACCGAGGTCGACGGCGACAAGATCCCGCGACAGCTTGGCCGCGCGGAGCCTCGCCCGCGCCGACCGGATGCGCCCGACCGCGGCACGCTCGACCGCCAAGCAGGCCGGGCGAGCGGCGGCGCCCGCGCCGCGCGCGCGCGCGGGCGGCGGCGCGCCGACACCGGGCCCGCTTTCTTGATCTCCTGCCGGGGCCGGGAGGAGGGGGGGGGGGGCCCCGCTCCCACAGAAGAAAAGACACGGGCAGAGAGACCCTGAACTTGCCATCGCTCGGGCGTCCATTCCCCGTGCGTGTTTCGGTCTCGTGCGTGTGTTTTTTTGCGGCTCGGTGATCAAGGATGCTCCTCGATGGTCCTCGCCGAGCGAAACATGCACACGTCCGAGCGATGCCAAGTGAACACCGACGCTGCATGACAAGACACACGTGGTCGGTCGGTCGGACGGTCGGACGGATGGTCGGTCGGGTGGAGGGGAGGGGCGCCGCGCCCGACGGTCGGACGGGCGGGCGGAACAAGAAGCCTCCAGGGGAGGGAGGCGACGGGACACCTC